CGCATGCAGGCGCCGTGCTCTTCGTCGAGGTTCGGAGCCAATCCCCATCCATTTTTGATCGCCTGTGTGCCTGTCAGTCAACGGATTCGGCGGTAAAGAACGTGGCGGCCGCGTTATCCGTCCCAGAGATGCTTTGACTTGACAGGCTCACTCTAAACGCCTGAAGGAAGAGCTCAGCTCAGTGGAGCAGCAGAATCATCAGGGTGTGTCAGGTAGTTGTATGTCTGCACTGAAATTAAGTGGCGCTCGCTTGTTGGTATGTACGCGTTTGCTGCTTCAGTCCAAAGTAAATATCCAGCTTTCTGTTGGAAGGAAATGTCCGGTTGGACAGGCTTGTTTAAAGTTAGGTGTATGGTGAGACATTCTCCATTGGTACGTTCTTCAGTTTTTTGTTTTTTTTTCATTTTACACAAACATTAGAAATCGATTAAAAATGCAAAGAATCCGGTTCCTGCTTTTAAAATAAAAACTAAATGAGTTCACGATTTCAGTAACTGATTTGTTGCTTCAGACCTAATGTGCTAGATCAACAGTTATCCTAGAGATGAGCTGTGTGTTTCTACTGGGGCTTTTCTCTTTTCCTGCAACTTCACCATTTTGCACCACTTTATGTCAACCTGTCACATTAAATCCCAAACAAATACATTGAGGTTTGTGGTTAAAATACTGCAAAATATGAAGAAAAAAAAAAAGCAATTTGTACAAATAAGTAGAAGAATTTAGTATTTAATTAAAATGAGATGGCTTCCGGGACAAATCAGCAGCCTTCCTCTGTGCTTTCACGTCACTTGATTTACATACATTTGCATTAAAGCCTTTGGCTTCAAACCGCCTGTTCCCCAAATAAATCAAAATGCACACAACGATAACTAGCATCCTGCACAAGCGTCTGAATGTAAAAGCTTTTTGTAAATGTCATGGACGTCAAACCGGGATCCAGCACACTCCGACCATACGTACAGTCACCAATTTCCCCATCACTTCAACATATTTCAGCTCTTTTTTTATTGGACTTCCAAGAGCAGGGGGCGCGGGGAGTCATTTGCTAATTGGGTTTTGCAGAGGGAACCGTGTTTCGCTTGCCTCTTTCTCCTCTATACCCCAGGGGTCTCTTCCTCTTGGATGATTCTCCTGTCTCTTGCTCCTGCCAGCTAAAGCGAGCAATCACAGAGGCTTGTTATTCTCCTGCACATTGTGAATCTGCAGAGCTGCAGGGGCTTTGGAAATATTTCCGCCCCAACAGACCTCACATTTATAAAGCGTTTACGGGAGGAGGCGGGATCCGCCTAAAACTCACCTCATAAAAGGTAATAAATCATAAGGAGTTTGTGCAAAATTGGGACAGGGACGCATCACAAAGCACCGAGATTGTGGATTTTAAATTTGTAAGGGACGCTTGCAGAGCACAGAGTTACTCAAAGGAACAAACTCCCAAATTCACCAGATCCCCGGGGTCAACAGAGCGGTCATGATTGCAACGGCGCAACATGCTCCTATTTTGGGTTTCCCAATCAGAAAAAAGGGAGGAATTGGATAAAATAAGACTAGAGCGTTAAGGGCAAACAAAAAAAATTAAAATTTATCCAAAACAAGTGTCTGAAGTTGCATGGTAATGTGCCACACTATCCAACTACAGGAGTAAAAGTCGTCAACTTGAGAAAACGCAGATACTTTTGTCGCCATGTGATCTACAGTAGTGTAAACAAATAACTGGTCGTCTTGGTTACGCCAAGCCTTTATCAGAGCGTGCAACCGCTTTTCGGCTCGCAGCTTAGATTTCTAGAAGAAAATGAGTTAAAATACGACTTCCTGGACCACAAAACGACGTCATCTGGATTGGCGACTGGAACGGTGATCTCAGCTCAATATTCTGTCTATGAATTACCCTCAGCATCTGTTCCAGTACCGACGAGGAAACGTACTGGTCTCAATTCAGCAGAGGATGTTTTCCTCCATACCATCTGTCATGTGGGGAAAACAAAGGCAAAACTCACCTCATTTCTGATATTTCCTTCTTTTTTTTATTGGGTTTTTGTTCACTCAGAAGATTTGGATCTTTACCTCTCACACACAACGAAACTCAAAGCACGCATATCGTTTTCTTTTAAATTAATCTTCGCCATAGCATTTTCTCCACTTTTAAGCCTTATCCATTTCGCTTCGTGCGAGTACTCTCCGCATCCGGAATCTGCACACTTTTTACATAACCATCAGCGAAGCAAGACAAACCACAGATGGGTCCATCTGCACACAATACCTGAGAAACGTAGGTGTGAAAGACTTTAAAAAACGTCCCCTTGTTTTCAGGTCGCATTGGCATTGCAGGGGAGATTATGATGAAAAATAAAAAAACGGTGGGAAAAAGTTGATTTTTATTTGAGATTTAATGAAGCCTCCAGCGTTTCTTGGGTTGGAAGCATAGATTGTGGACTTTCAGGTGTTAATTAACGGATTGCTCACCAATTAGCAAACTGGAATAAATCAGATACGTGTCTCGCTGCAAGAGAGTCGCTCAATAACTTAATCGCCTGGCTAGGTATGTGTCATGCGGCCCTTGTAAGCTTTGTGCATGTGTAAATCCAAATTGCATTGAGTTTTTAATCCAAACTTTTACATTTGTCTTGTGAATTGTTCACTTTACACCAGAACTTAAAAGAAAAAAATCACATTCCCAACATTATCTGGCTGAGCAAGATGTTGTTTTCACCATCTAGTGATCGTTCCTCGAGAAGTTTCTTGATTGACGGAGTACTCGCAATGTGCAATAGTGGTTTAAATCGAGCAAAAAATAAAAAAGTTGCTTCCTCAGGAAAAAGGAAAAGGAAAAGGAAGGCAAAGAAAAGCAAAGTCGGTGTTGCTCTTGACAGGTTCATAGATAAACTCTTAAGTTTCACCCCTGCGACTTCCTCTGTCAACTTGGTTCCTGGATGACAGAGCAGAAGTCTTGTCCTCGGGGTTGTGTGTGCATCTTGGAGCAGAGATGAAACTCGATCAAACTCCATCGGCAATGTTTTGTCTGCTGTCACGCCGAGCCGTGTTTACACCCTGAGCTCCTTTGACTTTTGGGACTTTGCTTTTCCCGCTCCTCATCACATCTTTCCTGCACTGGAAAACAGCGAAAAATCCCGATTTTATCCTGAAAAGCTGTTTCATGGAGCGCTCACGTAGAACTTAATGAGAAATCAAAATCCGACTATAAAAGTCTTAAGAGGAAGGAATAAACACATAACAGACGGAACGGCTTGTTCCTCATTAAATTTGTCAGTACAAGTGTTAGTGCTCGTAACAGACAAAAGATAATGCTCCCCTACATTATAAGCCTTATCCAGATGTTAATTTCAAGACAATTAGGGAAGACGATCCAAATTGTCCCTTTCAAATTGACAAAAAAAAGAAGCTAGTTTTATTAATAACCCCAGAACAACGAGAGCCAAAAGTGAACGAAGAGTAAAACCAACATGTTCAAGCTTGATTGAAATACACTTAGAAACATTTTGAGGTCAGTTATTGGTAGTATGCTTGAAAAAGTCAAACCAAAGAACGAGTCAAAAGACCAGAAACAATTTTCTATAAACGCTGGAGTTCATGGTAAAGTTAATTTCAGATGTCACATTTTGACAGGAAGCTCTGAAAATTGTCGACATTTCCTGGAACGTCTTGGTAATATGTTTCTGATTCGTGCCGATCCAAAACCGCAATTTCGTTGGTTCTGGGATCAGAAATAACAGATTTTAAATCTGGATGTACCTCTTACCCAAACTTACTCAGAGATTTAGGAGAAGAAGAGAACTGAGGAAACGTGTTGTAAAAGATGGATAATGCAACATGTCAAAAGCCAGAGGGAAGTCAATGCCTGAGAAAAGGGACGACTACTAACATTTCTAACATTTTCAAGCAGTCTTTCCCGCTTCCCGGGGTGTTGCAATCATTCGAAAATATAAAAAGTGACAGAAATTGTTGTGCAAGATTTCAAAGGCTTAACGGGAGGAAAAAAAAAAAAAACTCCTCTCACTCTCAGTAACACACATCACCAACTGCTGTGTTAAATATGATGCCAAAAAGATGTGGGTGGAAGACAGTTTAAGTACAGTTTGACCACAAAAGAGTGTTTTCACTGAACAACGGAGCACCTTAAGTGATCACACCCAGCACATTGTTGATCGGGTCGATAATAACTAGTCTGTCACACGATGTACGGATCATCAACCATCAGTGCATTCCATGGAAAATCTTCTAGTTTCAACAAAAATCAGTCCCCACACAGAGGGAGACCACCATTTAAGGGCTCACGGTGTCTTACATGAGCAGAGCTACAACCGTCTCTGTCAAAAACTAACCGGAGCAATGTAGCAGAAGGAAGGATGTTCTTTAAATCTACCCAACGTTAAAAGAGGATGCAGCCATTTGTCAGAGCCGTTGCTTTCACATTCATCTTAATTGGGCTGGACTGCACCGTGTTGCGCTAATTTTCTGTTTCTACCTGGAGGCGTGTTAGGTGAAAGCCTTCGAGGCCTTCAGACGATAAATTAAAGACGAGTCTTAAAAAAAATAATAATAAAGCAAAAAAAAAAAAAAGTCACGTCTAATGAATACTGAGCAGGCTTATATAAGTGTTCAATGTGGACACGGGATACTGAAAACTGTCATGTATTCAAGCTGAAAAATGCATTGTCAGGATTTGCTGAACCTTTTTTGACAACGTACCACAGAAAACGTTGTGCCCTAAATATCAAAAGTTGTATATTTGGTAACTCTCTTTAAATAATACATAAGCTTGACTCACTGCTGTTTCACATTTATATCTTGTAATTTTAGGAAATATCTCCAAACCAGGTGGGGTGGTGTACTTCTTCAAATTGAAAGAAATATGGGCTCATTCACTTAATCACTTTGGAAATGAAACAAGCTATTAAAACCAAAAACAGAATGCTTTGTAGGTTTTTTTTTTTTTTTCATAAATATGTAGTTCTCAAACACCTTGAATAAGATCTTTACCTAAAACGACTGCTCCCGATGTCCTTTCCTGTTCAGGTCCCTCCAGGATGTCCTCCCTGAACTTTTAGTTCCAGTCAGAACGATTCGTGCCTGAAGGAGTTTTCCCAGAGTCGCTGAAATATTAAGAAATCAAGATTGTTTGTTTGTTTTTTGTTTTTTTGCGCCATTTGTTTATATAAAATAAAATGTTTATGGTTCACCAGAAATAAAAAGACTTTGTCAAGGTTACTAGCTTGGAAATGTGTTAAGATTTAAAACTGTCAATAATTATTCAAAACTTTAACTGGAGATTCTTAATGTGTTATATATCTTGAGTGAGAAACTATTATATTCAATTAAATGGCTACATTTTTCAGAAAAACAGTCCAAGTCACAGGTTATATCCCGAGAGAACACATGTTGCTAATTTTGGCAATATGCCACAAGAGTCTAATAGAAAAAAATAGGATCAAATTAATTTTGACTGGCTTACAAAACATAGCTTTCAAGTTTCCTCAATTTCACTTCTGATTGGTTGATCAAACTTCTGCAACGCCTCCTTCCCTGGAACTGGATGCTGTCGGGACAACAAGTTGGTTAACATGGAGAAAAATGGGGCTTAAACTTAGACATTTATGTGGAGTATTCATCATTTTATCTTTTTTGCAGGTGTGAAAATAATACACAGAAAAAAGACTCGGTACTTTTTGTTTGAAAGCTCCACATTACAAAAGCAGTGATAAATACTCCTCTACATTAGTGCATAGATGCCATAAAATGATCTTTAAACATTTTATTCCATACCAGAGAAGTGTTAAAACGTTTGGTTGAACATTACCATGTAAGTGGCTCCACTGTGGCAGCCATTTTGTTTTGCAGGCTAAGAGGAAGCCCGCCTTCAAGGCGACGCCTTTGTAGGAAGTGAGCTGGCAAGAGCAGGAATTTGATTAGCTGACAAAGTGTAGAAGTCCCAATCAAGTAAGAGAAGTTTTGCTTTATATTAATTTTATGATAAATAATTGTTAATGTTGACCTTGTTTATCTGAAAGTTGTCTTTGTTTCGTCTTTTTCATTTTTAGATGGATGAAGTTTTTGCTTCTTTTGTTCTTTTTGCCCAAGAAACTCAGTTATTAGAACCTCTGACCCCAGCTTTTCTGTAAACAGAAGAAGTTTTTTTGTTTGTTTTTTTTTCTTCATGGATGCACTGTGAATCTAAAAGCTACATGTGCTGAAACCCCCACAAAAAAAAAGAAAAGAAAAGAAAAAAAATCACACACACATACACAGCCGCCATCTTCCGACCCATTTAACTCGCACTAGACTGAATTAGCCAGTAATCCTCGTTTTCTCCCCGGGGCTCTATCTTCACTTTGCACTTGTTTGAGTGAATAATTGGACGCTTCCTAAGTTTCCATTTACATATGAGCACTGTAATAAACTGCTGACATGTTTATGTTTTTACTGAATTTACAGCCTTCTACTGCTCCTCCCCCTTTTCCTGCCCTTGCTGTTACATAATTAAATGTCTCTCTAAAAGAAGTAACGGCTGGATTCAGAAATTAATCAATTTTCCATAAATGTCTATTTGATTCATTTTCACAGAAACGTAGCCTATCGCAACAGATGTGGCGGATCAGCCATTTTTAGCCAAACACAGGTATCAGCTCTTTTATTTCTGGCAAGACATCTTCTGGAGAGATCCCAGTATTTCAGGCCGCTGCAGAATTATTGGCCAAATTTGGAGCACGCAGGAATTCTCATTACGGTAATGCATCAGCTCGACCTCTTCCCTCTCGGAGTTCGAATGCGATTGCTGGCAACGCGGGGCGGCTAGATTTTTCTCTCTCTGTGCCTTCTTGAGCAAAAAAAAAAAAAACAAAAAAAAAACACCAGGCTCAAGTGGCAACAGTGCAACCGGGTGTAAGTCTTACATAATCCTGCGGTGCTCCAGCACTCCTGGAAACGGAGTAAAACTGCCGTTTATCACCTCTGCGCTTGGCAAGGGGATAAAATGTGTGCACATCTGTGGTAAAATCGGATATTAAAAGACGTGCTGCGCTTTCGTCTTTGATGACAACTAAAAATGAATGATTGAGTGAATATGGAAAGAAAACCAATGAAATATCGCAACTCGCAAGTAAACAAATGCCTGCATCTTCATGTTGTTGTTCCTCTGAACATAAAAACAAAAAAAAAAAAGTTTGCTATTTTGTTGTTATTGAATGACTTAAAGGGAAGATATATTTTGAATAGGACTTACTGGGAGTACTTATAAGTAGTCAGTATCTTACGCACAGCCGGGAGCAGATTAGTGAAGAAAGCCAGTGTGATGAATAAGCCAATAGCAGCTTTTTAAACTTATCTTACTTTATAAGGAGCACAACAATGAAATAGTATTCAATAAGAATTTATTAAGGTTTACTCAACTTGTCAGGCATTTGCTGTCGTCTGTGTATCAAAATCTATATAATTATAGCTGTAATCAATATAATTTATTCAGAAGCACTAGAAACAGTTGCTGCCTATCTGCAATAAAACCATGTCATAGAATTTTGTCTTCTTGCTAGGAATTCAAGGCAATTGTGCCATCATGAGGCCAACCAAGGTTCTTAGTTCAACCTGAATTTTTAAAGGTTTGTTATTTTTGTAAAAACTCAAGAATAAAATCTTATTTGCTTAAGATTTGCATCAAATTCTAACTAGCATTCTCCAAACCGCTACGTAGTATGGGTAAGATACTAACTTCTTATGAGTACTCACAAGTACCAACTCGTTGTGCGACCACTGCAAGCAGACACCTGCAACTACCACGTTTTAAGACGTCCTCAGATAGTTTTGTCCCCTTTCACCTTTGCACTGAGTGGATCCACTTTAAGTAAGCTGCATCAACTACTTGAAGAATGCACCTCCATAAATTGAAGCAGTCCTTCAGTATAAATGGTGCGACTCATATTGGAGATAGATTGATATATTTACAGGCATTAGCGTTGCCAAATCCGGTGAGCGTTCGTTCTGTGGCGCCGACGCCGTAATCGATCAAATTACTCAACAGTTTGTCAGCCGCTGCACTCTGCTCTCAGAGCGCGTTGGCTTTTTATTTCACTCCCCACCATTTAAAAAAAATAAATAAAAAATGGAGGTCTGAACAGTGTCAGTTCTTCTAATAAATACTTATGTGCTTGAAGATGACAAGACTCACTAGACTGCTGGACACATTATATTTCATAACTCTGACTAAAAAAAATGAAACCGTTTTTTTTTATATTCTTACCAAAGCCTTACACGTTCTTAGTGATCAATGGGGGGAAAAAATGCATTAGCCCCCTTCTAAAAACTGTCACTTGACAAATACTGGGAAGTTAAATAGAAGACTTTCCAGTCGTATAGTTTCATTGGTCTTTGCTCTTGAATTTTATTAAATGAATGCTATGAAAAATTCAAAGTAGCAAAAAAAAAATCAGTTCAGTTGAGGGTTCGGTGAGCACGCCGCGTAAAGAACGCAAGACTTATCAATCTGTGTGCCGCTCTCGGTCATGATGTCAAGTTTTCTCTCAGCCGCGCCGCTCTCCAGTCAATCAGTGGGCGACAGAGTAAGAGCCTCTTTCGGCCCAACAGCGGAGGCGACGTCTCAACTCGGCTCAGCCTTCATCTTCATCATGTTCGGTGATTTCTGCTGCCGTTAATCAGAACGTCGCGCGAGCAAGTGCAAGCAGTTTGTGGATGAAATTGAATACGGGCGTGTTCTTTTGCTCTGTGCTTAGCTGGTGCTTTTTAAAGCAATGACTTTGCAAAAATAAGAAATAAAAAAAACCAAAAAAAAAACAAAACAATGGAAACCTCTGGGGATGCTTAAGGTTGCAGGGCAGCGCTAATTATTGCAGGGATTTTCGTTTCTGCAAACATTTGCTCTCTCGCAGGCCGTTTACATCCGTTTTCCTGAATAACATAAGCACTGAAACGGCAAATCTTACCGGCGTTATTATCATTATGGCAACATTGAAACATAACACATTGACTTTATGCAAATTGGACTCTGTGGACTAAAATTCAGGATAATTGCTGTTGTTTATGTGCGCCACTGGAAGGACTCCACACACACACAAGCTGCATTGCAATATACAGAGAACCTCCACATTAACCTTTAACATTGTGTCTCTATGCACATACTGGAAAAAATAACCTCTAACATTATGCATCAGTCCACTTTCTCCTCAGCAGAGCTCTGAACTGCTTTATCTGCACATTTGTAGTTTTTTTAAGTACTTTTCGTAAAGTTATATGAACGTCCACTTACTAAAAGTTTTAACCCTGGGGAAAAAAAAAAAAAAAATCAGAAGAGTGAATACAAAATGCAGTTTTCAGAAAATGTTTTCATTTGGAAATCAAAAATCAGGGTGTCCAAGTGTGAAAAAAGTAATAAATGGTTGAGCCAACAATGGCTTACCATCAAGTTGTTTCCAAATCCTATAAATCTACTTTTAGTCCCTGTTCCTTTGACATGTTTTTTCTTTTTTTTTTCACTTTTCCAAAACAACCAACACATAACAGCAGCAACAGGATTAACATGCTTTTCAAAATTAGACAAGTGCTGTGTTTAACGAAGGTGCGCAGCTTGACAGTTACGGCTTAATTTATTAACAGCTCTTGACAAACTGACTGTTTTTCTGTGCAGAAGAAAGCTGAGTCATCCTCCTTCATTCCAGCGTCTGCAGAGGATTTTCTGCAAACAAAGAAGTTATTCTAGGGTTAGTCCAGCATCGCCGCATTATCTTCAAAAGCACAAATATTTCAGTCTAAACAAACAATTCTGAACCCCTCAAGTGGATTATTAAGAAGCTTTCATTTTTTCCCCACCAATAATAATTGCAGTAGTGGTGCAGCTTATGGTTTAATGAATTAGCTTAAGCTTTGGCAGTTTAATTGGCTCATATTTGAGACATTTGAGTTTACCCAAGTTCTTTGAAGTAACTTTCCTAAAACAAGACTTATAAAGGAATTTAAAAAATAATGTTAACCATGATAGGGTTGTTTTTTTTTATATGTGTGAATTCTACCAATTGTTTCAAAACCATAAGTTGTACAGATGTCCAAAAGTGCCAAGTCTAAAAACAACAACAACAACAAAAACAGGCTAGCCTCAAAAGATCTTGAAACAATCGTTTTCTGTAGTTTCGTAAACATAAGCAAGTTGGTACGTCCAAACTGAACTAGAAACGGGAAAGGTTTTTTTGGCACTCAAGCTCTTTCTAAGTGAAATAATGAAGTGGGTGTGGTCAGATCAGTTGGCTCCGCCCACAAAACCGCACCCACTTTGTGGCTAGTCAAAGATATCCCGAAAGACTCAATGGTGAGGCACAGAAATATATATTTATTTGATGAAACCTATTCATACAAATCGACTAGGAATCCAAACTAATCTCTTTGAGAGAGTAGAAAATGACAGTTTACCCTGTCCTGTTTTCCTTTCAGGGCCATTACTGTGACAGTGTTGTCACATCAGTAAAAACTGTAAGAATAATTAAGAAAAAAAAAAGAAGAGGAGGTGAACTAAAATCTCTTATTTACGGTGCAATTGTGCCCAAACATGTGAAACTGTGCAACATAAATTCAAATCAACAACAACAGAAGTGGCCTTTTGTGTTCGCTCATTACAAGGAGGCGCCTGCTGGATCCTGCCACCGCGCTTTTTTCCTCTCTCTTTAACAGGCAGAGTTCAGTGGAAAATAAAAAAAATAAATAAAAATATTCATGACTGCTGACAAGTCCCCGTGTGTGGGCTCTGCATCTCAGTTTTCACCATGGAAACTGCAGATGGCTGGAATTACAGTGGCAGATATAATCCAAACGGTGCTTGTTGTAGCAGATAGTTTTACGACGACGACGATGATGATGATGATGCGCGCTCTGGATGACGACGTTTCCCGCTCCTGTTCAGCCAAAATTACCCATCGGATTTTGATTTCCTAGTTGCTTCCTTGCCTTTTTTTTTTTTTTAAACTTCCTTTTTGTGCTTTGGCTTCTTTTTTCTTTCGGCTGGTGCCGTTTAAGTTTCAAAGAAGTTGCGAACTCCAACACCAACCAGTCCAGTCGCTTCCAGAAATATCATCGGAAACTTAGAACAAGAAACCCCTTTCATTTGAGCTGTCACTGCAAGAAAGTAGCAGCGCTAAAGTTTGAAAATCCCTAATTTGAGTTTGCCTTTGTGCAACTTCCTTCCCACGCAGCAACTCCCACCAGATTGCAACCTTTCCAAAAACTGAACAATTCCCCAGAGGAATTCAAGGCATGTGCAATTTAGGTAGGAACGTCGTGTGATGTATCCAGATTTGTTCCATATTGTAGCAATCCAACATGAGCAACATCATCAATCACTAATTTCTGGTAGAAATTATGACCTCCAATGTGCAGATTGTGTGTAAATTAATCAAAAGAAATGAGTTATCGTTTCTGTGCAGAAATAGAGAATATTTAAGTTCCTGTCAATGTCATCGGCACAAAGCACAGACCAATAGAAGGACTAGCTTATCATATGTTCACTTTTATACGCATACAGCATCATCAAAATCAAAAATAAATAAATTACAGGCAATTAAGATGTTCATTTACAATTACAAAAAGAAAAATAAGATTGAAACTTTTCTGTGGTGCGCACAGGAAAATAGTAGCGGAGCTAGACTCAAAAAACAACAAAATATAATATTCTATCAAGTTATAATAAACTATATTGATTCAGTCGAGATAATTATAATTTTATTAGATGTTTTTTTTTAACCCCATTTTCTTATTTTCCTGTGCATGTTTCTTGAGTTGCCCATTTTCCCACAGTAAAAAAAGAGAAAGTCAAAGTTAAGAAAGATAACTTAAGAATGAATCTCACCCTTTGCTTCTACAAGATTCATTTCAAGAGCTTTTTTTATTTTCATATTATATATATATATCTGGCTGCCTTCCCCCCCTGTAGGTTTTATACTATCAGGAGGAGCAACAAAAAGAAGACTTATGAATATATCGATCTAGTGACCAGGGTACAGTTAGCGCCACGAACAGGGAAAAGACCTGAGGGCGAGAATTTATTCATGTTGGCTGGTGGGAGCCTTCTCCTATTGGAGGTGTTACAGGCACATTCCAGGCATCCACCAGTGGGTTGTGAGTCATTTGCCAAGCAGCGCAAGGGAGTCTGTGAAGATGCTACTGCTAAAAAAACTAACTAATGAACTATTTGCATCCAAATTAAGTGGAAAAAAGTGGGGAGAAAAAACAAAATTCTTCTAAGTTGCAACAGCATATTCTTACAGACTTGTGCTAAGCACAGCAAACATTGCTTCAGTTTGTTGCACAGGTTTCAAGACAGAGATAATCCTGATGCAACAGACACTGTTTAAACATGTAACAACAATAAATCTTTGCAGATAAAGGTCAAAAGTACATCTGCTTTAGACAGATAGCCTCAGTTGTGGTACAGCTTTTCTGTTTGCTCTGCTCATTCCCGACTACTGACCTAAAACCAAATCCAGGGCTGACCGTTTTTTCCGATTTAAGCCCAATGTTTTTGTCTCTCCGGAATAACGATACGACCCGGAAGCGCTCTCTGCTGTCACTTGTGGCTCAGGAATTTGCAGCTTACAAAGCCCCCCACCCTAAAAAAAAGAAAGTCTGGACTCTTTTGTTGAAGCTCCCATT